ACCCTCAAACCTGACCATCTTGCTGGCACATCCTCCTTTCCACTAGTTGGCCGGGGAAGGAGGGAACCCTGGAGGCTCTCCTCTGTTTAGACAGATATCTGTGTAAATACATGTGAACTGACTTGTCTGTGGAAAGTAAGCTCTGGGACTCTCCATCCAGCATAGTAGGACTCCTTACCTCAGTAAATACACACGCACACATGCATACTTGCAGGCACAGGTGACGGAGTTGTGGCAGTTAGAAAGGAGGCCGGACTCCAAGTCTGGAAATAGCCACTTTCCCTGGAGCTTTGGCTTCCTCATCCCATTGCCAAGAACCTGAGCTGGAGGGAGGTGGCCAACATGTGGCCGGTGCATGCCTCTTCCCCGCACATGACTGCTCTTTCTTTCATCTATGGTCACTGCTCCGGGCTGGCCGAGAAAAATCAAGAAAAGCCGTAAAACTAGAAGAACCACATAATTTAGTGGTGAGAGCCTGAGTCTAGGTTCTTGGCCAAGCATTCTGCCTTTAACTCTGTGATATTCTGGCAATGATTTGGCTATGCTGCCTCACTTTCCTTTTCTGGAAAATGAGAGACTGATTCAGCCTGTGTTACAGGGCTGTAAGGAACAAAGGTGGCAATAGTGAGGTGCTGCTTTGGACGCTGAAAAGCGCATTTAACAAATGGGACTATTGTGATGAAAAGTGTTAGAGGGGTTGTGCGCTTGCTCCTGTCAGAACTGTATCCACCCTGGAAACCCGTACTCTGAGCTACATATTGCGTGCGCCCTCCTTCCCAGTTGGCATACTCATCTGAGACGTGCTTGTGGGACCCGTGCGTGTGGATACAGTCCTCTGCACCTCCTGTAACCCCTCTTCAACCCTGGTTAACACAGATAACAGGGACAGAGAAATGGCCAGTGGGAAACTAGTTGAACTCTGCCTCTGACTTGTTTGGACAAGTCGCTTCAGGACTCCAGGCCACTTTCTTCATCTGTTACAGTGAACAGACTAGATGAATTTTCTAGAGACTTTCTTGCTCTAAAATTCTGATGTGAATTTTCCTGCAGGCACTCTTGGTCCTGTCTTGTTTCCCCAGCAACTAAATACAAAACTTCACTTGTGCACACTGCACACATAAGTGTGTGCACACAGAGTCCTATACACATCTGCAAGAATGGAGGAGGGGAGGACAGGGTGGCGGGAACAGAGAGAGGGATATGGGAGATCCCCACTTGATGGCCCAGAGGGAACCCTGAGGGGTAAACCAAGTATGTGTTTATTCTGCAAAATATGTGCTAGGGTTTAGGCCAGGAATCCTAGAGTGGGTTTTCCACCAGTCTAATATTGAACCAGACCGTTCAATTTTATAATTAATTGTCCATCAAAACAAAACATTCTAAATCCTGAAAACACCTTTCATATTGTTATAATTTCAGATTTGCTCTATAATTTCTTTTGTCTACTTAATCACTGGGTGCTTAAAAGGCTTCACCTTTTTACCTCTCTTTTAGTTAAGTACCTAATTGTAAGAAAACATGTATAGCGGATTTCTCATTCTTTTTAATGTGAAGAAATCCATTTTTAAAAAATGGATTATCGGGGCTGGCCGTGTGGCTGAGTGGTTAAGTTCGTGTGCTCCTCTTTGGTGGCCCAGGGTTTCATCTGTTTGGATCCTAGGCGCGGACCTAGCACCGCTCATCAAGCCATGCTGAGGCGGCGTCCCACATAGCAGACTAGAAGGACTTACAACTAGAATATGCAACTATGTACTGGGAGCCTTTGGGAAGAAGAAGAAAAAGAAAAAAAAGATTGGCAACAGATGTTAGCTCAGGGCCAATCTTTTTTTTTAAAAAAAGGATTATGAATAATTGTACTTCTAAGTCAGAATTCGTCTACCTTGGCACTACGGACACATTGGGCAAGAAAATTCTTTGTTACAGGACGCTGCCCTGTATAAGATGCTTAATGGCATCCTTGCCTTCTACCCACTAGATGCCAGTAGCACCTCCTCCCCCAGTCATGACAACCAAAAATGTCTCCAGATATCGCCAAATTCCTTGGGGAGGGGGCAAGTGCTCACTCCTGGTGGAGAACCACTGCTCCAAAGCACTGTAAATAAGAGTTTCTGGTAGTAATGTGAACTATTCTATCAAATAAAGTGAAATTTTCCCCTGGAAGAGAGTGAGTATAATTTAACCATCCAAACTGGAAGATATTTTATCAGGATCTCCCCCTCTTCCTGCACTAAGGAGGAGTATAGCAAAGACCAGATTTAAACTTCTGTGCTGGGTTGTTGTGGAAGAAACTATTTGTGCCTCAGGCACAAGAATCTTTGGATAGGTCTGCTCTTATGCCCTTTCTATGGGGCCCAAGGGCAGTCAGGTGTTTTGAGGGGTCTGCCTTACTGCCAAGAACTGTGAGCAAGGGCTTTCTCTGCTGTCCCCTTGTGGCCCTATGATTCTATTGCAAGTGATGGCTTTGATTTATGACCTGATCCCCTCAGAACCATGCATATACTGCCTTCCTTTTTGCTGGATTCTGGAGTTTGCTACCAGAGGAGGCCACTTCTCTACAAACCTTGCTGGGTTGGGTCATAAGCTGGTTTTTGTGCAGAGTGTGGTCTGAATGGGGTTGCCAGATAAAATAGAGGATACTGAGTTAAATTTGAATTTCAAATAAACAACGAATAAGTGGTTAGTATAAGTATGTCCCAAATATTGCATGAGACATACTTATATAGTGAGCATACCTATAGTCTAGACAGAAGCTGAATTATAAGGTTGTACGCCTGAAACTTATGTTATAAATCAAAGTGACGTCAATTAACAAAAGGAAAAAAAGTGCTTTATTAAAAAAATTATTTGTTGTATATTTAAAATTCAAATCTAACTGAGCATCTTGTATTTTTATTTGGTAAATCTGGCAAGCCCAGGCTGGACAGTGGCTCCTTGTGCTTCCCAGGCCCACTGGGGCAGTCAGCAGAGGCAAGAAAAGAAACACATAGGAATGGAGGTTTGTGGAGGACATTTACGGACTTCAGAGATGTGTAGGGACCAAAAGGAATATCTTTGAGCCTGCCACTGACTAACCTCCCCACTTATATCTTAGGGAGCAGTGAGATATGACAAATCTGGAACTTGGGTAATGACCCCCCTTGGATCCACTAACCTGTCATACATTTAGTCAAAATGGGGCACAAAACTAGAAGCTAATTGGAGAAGAGCTGGGAAAGGATGCAAAGATAAGAAAGTTGTTGCTCTCTGTCACTAGGATAGAGTAGGGTTTTGGGCAAATGGTCAGAAAGGTGGTGGTGAAGAGGATGTAGAAAACTTGTTTGGCGGCTGCCTTTGTGTACCAAGCATACTATTTTTTACGTAGATGATATATTTGCCTAAGGTTGGCTTAGGAAGTGGCCAGCGGGGATAATAAGTAAAGCCAAACGACCTTCTGGCTCTGCTATAGATTTATCTGTTCCACAGATAGTGGTGGGTGTTTACCAGAGGCTGGGCACATCCCTAGGCATCCGGAGCAAAGTCTATACAATGAAGGGTGGGTGGGGAGCTGGATTCCAGTGGAAGGAGAGTTTTTGCAGTGCAGGCATCAGGAGAGTGGTGTGCTGTGGGGAGGTGAGGCGGAAATGCTGGGTGTGAGGAGTGAGTGGGAGGAGGAGAGCATGGAAAAGTAGTTGCACAAAGACTGTAAAGGACCTCTGGGTTCCCTCTCCTTGAGCATTTCAGGACCCATCAGACTTTTGTAAGCTGTGATTACACTTGCCATCTAGAAAGAGCATCTTGGCAGCATCAAGAAGGATGGATTCGGGTGTCAGGAAACTAATTAGGAGGATATTTTGCTAATCTTGGGCTGGAGAGTGAGGACATGAATTAATGAGAGTCAGTAGGGACGAGGAGGTGGGGACTGAATGGAGAGAGAATTTTAGATGTTGAACTGGCAGGGCCTGGTGGTTGCCTAGGTGGCATAGGAGGGGCTGGAGCCAACTCTTATGGAGATGTGCGTCTCCTGCTCATTCCTCCTCTCCTGATCTGCCCCCTACCCCGACTCTTGGAGTTGATTTCCTGCCACTGCCAGTGTTTCATTGTGTGAGCTTCTGTCTGTGTCTTTTTATATGCCACATATTTGGCCATCTATGTGTTACCTCATTTGCTTCCATTGAAAAGCCAAATGGCTCTAGGCCAAGAGAGAAAATTCAGTAAAAGGGGCCCATGTATCTTAGTTGGAGTAAGTTTTGACTTAAAAAACGTTTTTAGTTCATTGTAGGAATAAAACTCAAGAGAGGATTTGGAGACCAAATCATCAGAGAAGATGAACTTTTCCTGAGACAAGTGAGCAGCAGATAGGAAGTAGGAAGAGACAATAATCTGACTTAAGAGCCAGAAGAAAAAAGAATCCACTGTTGCTTTTTGATTGAGCCCTGAAGATGCTGTTGTAGAGAGGAGAGTGCCAGGATCAAGGGGCTTTGCTGAAAAGGTCTAGAAAGAAGGGCATCGTGCAACAGGAGAAAATCTGCTAGCCTCTACATGTTGACTTCCTCCACAAATATGAAGCAGGAATTCCCTGTATCCCTAGTCCACGAAAACAAGGCTTATCTTGAAGGGTAATCTCAGGGCACTTAGTGAAGCTAAAACAGGGTTGCTCCAGAAGTCAATGGGTCAGGTCAACAAGTGTTTAAGTAAAACTCCTCTCCTCCATACCTAATATGCACAGATAACACATTCACAACATTCTGGCCCCAGCACCCAGGGGATAGGAACTGAATCACTGAGGCTCCCCCATTCAAGCCAAAAGGGGAAAAGTTGGTTTGGGTTAACTAACTGATCATGCAAAAAGAGATAAGGCAACCCCTTGTACCCTAATAGCCTCACTTCTCTGGATCAGGGACCTTGGGGTTCATTACCACTGAGGTACACACATTTGTGTAAGATGGACCAAAGTCATTGCTGCTTGCTCCACAGTTGGGCATACTCACTATTGCCACCTTTCTGATCCCATTCCCTTGTAGGATCTGGGAGTACCCTCTCCTTCTAGCTGCCAAAGAGAATGATGTAAAGGCTCTCAACAAGCTGCTCAAGAATGGGGCCTGTGAGGTGCTCCAGAGAGGTAAGGAGCAGAGCCCTCAGCATGGCTCTCCTCCTGGATCAACCCAGTATAGCCCAGGACCTTCTGCTGTGGGCCCCTGAATCTCTATTGTCCCCATTGCCCTGCCCAATAGAAACCATATGACTCTCCTTTCTGTCAATGCCAGGAGCCATGGGGGAGACAGCACTGCACATAGCTGCTCTCTCTGACAACTTGGAGGCGGCCTTGGTGCTGATGGAGGCTGCCCCGGAACTTGTCTTTGAGCCCATGACATCTGAGCTCTTTGAGGGTGAGGAGGCAAGGGACCCAGGATGGAGGGAAGGGGTGATCTGTTGGATATTTCAGGTCAGTCTCTGTGGTGGATTATCTGGGGACACCAAGGAGGGGATCTGAGCCCCCTACTCCTTATTCCCCCCTGCAACTCCCTTCTTCCTTATCGTCCTCACTGCACAACATCAGAGCACCCAACCTCTGAAATGGGAAGACCTAGAGAGTGGGAAGAGATGAGCAGCAGCTGGACCCCCTGGGAACCCTGCCAACCCCAGGGCTCCCCATCCTCCCCCACCCCAGGGCTCTCCATCCTCCTCCAACCCCAGCCTGCTCTGGTGAAGAGGACCAGGTATAGATATGGGAAGGACCCCCTGCAGCATCCCGAGGACAGACCCCCTGACTGAGGACTCTTTCTGGGCCAGGTCAAACTGCATTGCATGTAGCCATTATGAATCAGAATGTGAACTTGGTGAGAGCCCTGCTTGCCCACGGGGCCAGTGTTTCTGCCAGAGCTACAGGCACAGCTTTCCACCGCAGCCCCCATAACCGTATCTACTTTGGTGAGAGCCATGGCCACGGCTGGCATGAAGGGGAGGTGGAGAGGTGGGCAGGAGTAGGGGGGGTGGGCTGAGGAGGGTTCCACCCTGGGGAAGCTGGGAGTGGTCAGCCCATTCCCTCCACTGCCCTTTGCACCATCCCTTCCTCTGGTTCTGCTGACAAATCTCCCCAAGCCCAGAGGTGAGATGAGGGGAAGGAGGCAGTCACTTGGGGAGACTGCCCATCCCATCAGACACTCCTGCCATGGAGCCCTCTGTGTCCCCAGGGGAGCACCCTTTGTCCTTTGCTGCCTGTGTGGGCAGTGAAGAGATTGTGAGGCTGCTTATTGAGCACGGAGCTGACACCCGGGCCCAGGACTCCCTAGGTAAGAGCTGGGGAGGACAGCTGGGGAGCTAGGGGTGTGAGGGGAGGGGCTGGGAGAGCCCTCAGGCCTACCCTGAGGGTGGGCACAGGGAACATCATGGACTTTGCTCCAGTGGTCTTGTGACACCAGTGTCCTCCCCCAGGAAACACAGTGTTGCACATCCTCATCCTCCAGCCCAACAAAACCTTTGCCTGCCAGATGTACAACCTGCTGCTGTCCTATGATGGGCGCGGGAACCACCTGCAGTCCCTGGACCTTGTGCCCAATCTCCAAGGTCTCACCCCCTTCAAGCTGGCCGGAGTGGAGGGCAACACTGTGGTGAGGGACACTCCCCAACCCCACATGTCTTTCTAAAGAACTTCATCCTTCACTTCTGGCCCTTTGAGGAAATAGATATGAACACTCATCTCTGATGCTCAGTCCTACTTACAGCTCAGATTGGAATTTCTTTCTCAGCCCCTGTCTCTCTTGTCCCGTCCCATGTCTTGCCCACTTCCTCTCCCCTGAGGTGTTGGGTGCTTATAGAGTCTAGATGCCACCCGAGGGGGGTAGTAATGCCCATGTCCACCCCCCTTTCAGCCTACAGAGCAGCAGCCCTCCAGCCTCTCCCCTCCTCTTCCTAAGCTCTAGACGGAGTTCTAGCGGAAGGAGAGGAATGTAGGAGGTCAGCATGAAGACAGTTTCTTCTGCCCAAAAGGCTATGGTCATTGAGTGAAGAGCAACCACCCTCCTGGACAAGCTTCCCACTCACACCGTGACCATCCCCTTTGCTTGCCCCTCCTCATGCATCTCCCCCTCTCTTAGATGTTCCAGCACCTGATGCAGAAGCGGAAGCATATCCAGTGGACATGTGGGCCGCTGACCTCCACTATCTATGACATCACGGAGATTGACTCCTCGGGGGATGAGCAATCTCTGCTGGAACTTATTGTTACCACCAAGAAGCGGGAGGTATGGGGTCTTCAGGTTAGAGAGTAGCTGGGGAGAGAAGTCAGGATCTCTGAGCTGCTTGCTCTATTCTTTCTGCACAGGCTCGCCAGATCCTGGACCAGACGCCGGTGAAGGAGCTGGTGAGCCTCAAGTGGAAAAGATATGGGCAGCCATACTTCTGCATGCTGGGTGCCATTTACCTGCTGTACATGATCTGCTTCACCATGTGCTGCATCTACCGCCCCCTCAAGCCCATCACCAGTAACTGCACTGGCGCCGAGGACATCATTATCCTACAGCAGAAGCTGCTCCAGGTGATACCCTAGGAGCAGCAGAGCTTTGGAGCAGGATTTGGGTCAACTTTCTGCCCTTTCTCTTCTATCCCTTTTCTGTCCTACAACTCACATTTCTCCCCTCACTCAGGTCTCAAATATATAGGCACAAACTCAAACTACGTCCACACAGAAACACACATAGGCTCTAGGAAGAGAGCTTGAGATAACCAAATCTAACAAGTTAAAAAGAATCTGATGATGCTGGTGACCCTTACAAGGGACATTGACTTCTGGCCAGGGGCAGGCAGGGCAGATGCATGGAAGCCCTGAGTTCTCTGACCATGTTCCCCGCCCATCCCCCCAACCCCCACCTTAGGAGGCCTACTTGACCCCTAAGGATGGCATCCGACTGGTGGGGGAGCTGGTGAGTGTCGTTGGAGCTGTGATCCTTCTGCTTGCAGAGGTGAGGTATGGACAGGATCCAGGGTGAGGCTGTTTGTCTCAGGGATCCAAACCAAGCCCGTCTATAAGCGCCTATGTTTCCTCCTGGCCTCTTTCCAGATTCCAGACATCTTGAGAGTGGGGTTCACTTGCTTCTTTGGACAGACCATCCTTGGAGGACCGTTCCATGTCATCACGTGAGTCTCCTTCCTCTCATTCCCATCCCTTCCCTCCCTAGGATTCCATTTTCACTCTCTGGATTCCTGACCCCTGGAGAACTGTAACTCCAGAGGTCCCTCCCCAGTGACGTGTGTGTGACCCTGTGTACTGAACTTGCAAAGGCTGAATCTGAGTGTGTGGGTACTGTCTCAGTCACACTCTTGCTCTTGGGTCCCCAGGATAATCCCAGTCTCCCTCTCATCACCCCCCTCCCTGCTCTCTTTCCAGGATCACCTATTCCTGCATGGTGCTGGTGACCATGGTGATGCGGCTCACTAACACCGAAGGAGAGGCAGTGCCCATGTCCTTTGCCCTGGTACTGGGCTGGTGCAACGTCATGTACTTTGCCCGAGGATTCCAGATGCTGGGCCCCTTCACCATCATGATCCAGAAGGTCAGTGCCTCCCCCCATGCTTCCTAGATAAAGGTCCCAAAGCAGGACTACAAACATTTCTGTAAAGGGCCAGATAATAGATATCTCAGGTTTTGTGAGCCACATATTGTTGCATGTTCTTCTTTTTTTTCTTTCTCCTTTTTCTTTTCTTAAAAATTTTTAACAATCCTTTAAAAATGTTAAAACCGTTCTTGGTTCAAGGGCCATACCAAAACAGGCCAAGTAGATTTGGCCTGCAGGTCATAGTTTGTCAACCCTGTCTTAGAGGTGTGCTCTGGACGAGTCTGGACTTCTCAGAGTTAGTCTGCTGGAGGCTGGAAGGGGTAGTTGCTCAAGCGACAGGGCTGGAGACGGTCTCCCTCCCTCCTCTCTCTAGATGATTTTTGGTGACCTGATGCGATTCTGCTGGCTGATGGCAGTGGTAATCCTGGGCTTTGCCTCAGGTAAGTCTTCTGTCCAGGATGGGGGGGCCATGGGAAGGAGAGGAGAGACATCCAGAGAGCACAGAATGCCTCTGATAAACTTGGGGAAACAAGGGAGGCAAGGCAGAGGTAAGAGGTGCTATAGTGTCTGAAGATGGGACATCCCTCACAGGTGAGGGAAAGCTGGGAGTGTTAGGAAGAGGTGTCTCTTGGGATCAGGAGGACGAGCCATATGGAAAATAAGAGAACGTAAAAAACCAAAGTATGGAGTGATGGAGGGCTGAGATGGTGATACTAGAGATGGGGGAAACAGGACTGAAATGGGCAGCAAACAGCTGGCTGTAATCCAGTCACATGCATGGTTGCCATGGTAACGCTCACCCCCTTGGGTGGGCAGCCTTCTATATCATCTTCCAGACAGAGTCCCCCAAAGAGCTGGGCCATTTCCACGATTACCCCATGGCACTGTTCAGCACCTTTGAGCTCTTCCTCACCGTCATCGATGGCCCTGCCAACTATGACGTGAATCTGCCCTTCATGTACAGCCTCACCTATGCTGCCTTCGCCATCATCGCCACGCTGCTCATGCTCAACCTCCTTATCGCCATGATGGGTGACACTCACTGGAGGGTGGCCCATGAGCGGGATGAGCTCTGGAGGGCCCAGGTGAGCCCTCTGGTGGCTGGGAGGGTTAGCGCAAGTCACTCCCTCCCTGCCAAGGAACTGGCAGAGCTCAGAGAGAAGCAGGATATTTTGACCCCAAATATGTTTGGACGGGTATTAGATAGTACACAAAGTAATGGAAAGTGTACAGAAGAATTGGATTGGCAATACAACCGAGCAATATTGGAATAGCTGAAAAAAATACTTGACAGTTTTCTCAAAAGCTAAAACCTCAGTCTTTTCCAGAATAATCAACAAGAAATAAAGTTAATAGTGGCCAAAAGGGCACTCAGTAAGTTTTGCTACCGGATAAAAACTGGTGTATCACATCTTGGAAATATTTAAGTCTGCAAAATTCGACCCAGAAAAATTGAACATGTTAAAAATGCCACAAAAACTCCCTATAATAGCAGAAGCTATCTTCAGTCAGATCATCATCATGGGGACAAAAGACCATTAAACAAATCAAATCATCATTTAAAAATACACTTACAAAATAATTTATCTCAACAAAAATAATTTCAGCAAAATGGAAATCCTGAAAATTGGATGGCATTTAACTGTGCTGTATAGAAAATGGAGTTAAAACCCTAAAGTGGCTAAATGGGGTTTGCTCAGGAAGATATTTTTCCATGCAAATGTATTGATATTAGATTTCTCAGTGGGACTTTGCATTTATAAATGAGCTTTACGTCTGTAGGGTCAAAATACCCTGTAGCCCTGAGGCCCCCTTTCTATTTGCTTTGCTCTCTTTCCTGTCACCTTGGAGTGAGGTCTCAACCTCCTGCAGGACCAGCCTGGCATTGGCATGGATGTCAGGTCACTGGCCGGAGAATTCTGGGGCTCATGTCCCGTTGACTCTCTTCCAAAGAAGTGGGTCCACAAAGCTGACACCACCATCCTCAGCTTAGGGCTGTTGTCTGTCACCTCTGGGAAACCATGAGCTCCTGAGATTCCTAGCTGTTGCTAAACTGCCGTCCCTCTGCCTGATGTTCTCTCTTGTCCTCTGCCCTTCTTCTCAGTCTGTATTTCTCAGTCTGCACCCAGCTTCTGATGTCCCCTTTTGTCCCAACATGCAGGTCGTGGCCACCACAGTGATGCTGGAGCGGAAGATGCCTCGCTGCCTGTGGCCTCGGTCCGGGATCTGCGGGCGAGAGTATGGACTGGGGGACCGCTGGTTCCTGCGGTGAGTGACAGTGTGGGGCTGGGTTCCTCTGCGCAGACACCCTCCTGCTTCCAGAGGCCCTGTGTGGGTCTGTGCACTCCTGAGGCTCTATGCCTGCAGACTGAAGTTGCTGCTAAGGGAAGGGGCTCACTGGGTGCTTGGGCCCCTGAAAGTATGCACAGAGCCGCTAGGCCAGGAGGCGCAACTTCCCGAGAGGCCTGGCTGCTGAGAGGCTGGTGTCCACTGTGTGCACACCAGCCACAGACAAGGAAAAAGGCCAATCATGGTGGGGATGGGGTATGGATAGGAGACAAACACTGGCCCGAGATCAGCACTTCTATCCCTGGCTGCCTCTCAAGCCATCCGTTCTTCACAGGGTGGAAGACAAACAGGATCTCAACCAGCAGCGACTCCGGCGCTATGCACAGATCTTCCATAACCAGGGCTCCGACGATGAGGCGGACAAGGCATCGGAGCTGGGCAAAGAATCGGCGCTGGACAAAGATGCTGAAAGACTGCAGCTGGGCCTCCCCTTCAGCCCCTACCTGTCCCTTGCTACCCCCTCGGTGTCTCGGAGTACCTCCCGTAGCAGCACCAACTGGGAGAGGCTTCGGCAGGGGACCCTAGGGAGAGAATTGAAGGGAGTGCTCAACAGGGGTTTGGAAGATGGGGAGGGCTGGGAATATCAGATCTGAGAGCTGCAGATGCCCTCATTTTCCTGGGAGCATCACAAACACGAAAACAAAACCCCAAATACTTAAAAGTCTAATCTCTCAGGTCAGAGGGGAAAGGAAAGTAGAATGCACTAGGAATGGGAATAACTGTGCCCACGTCTCCACTACTCCTTCAGCTCTGGGGCAAATGGCACTCAAGGAAGTGGCCCATGCCTCACCCCGAGCACAGGCTGAGTGCGAAAGCCAATGAGGCCCCGGCCTGTGCCCGCTCTTGGGCCTTACTGAAGTACTCTGCACTGTCGAAGCCAAGCACTTTAAGGACAGGCATCCAGTCTCCACCTCAGTGTCCGAGGGGGTGGGGAGAGCCCAGACATTTGTGGGGAGGCTTGCGGAAAGTGTGTGAGCGAGGAAAGAGGTACCACTTTGAGGGTGGGGTGAAGCTGGCTGTGTCTTGCTAACTTCTACTTTCCAATAAAGTTGTTCTCTGCTCTGCTCCTCTCGTGCATTCTGTTCTGCGGCGTGGCCATCCCGGCCCTGCCCTCTGCTTCTGCTCAAAGCCTCCCTAGCCCCTCCTTGCAGACTGAGGCCTCACCACACCTCCAACTTGCAAAATCCCTTCTTTCCCTTTAATGTGGGGAGGGCGGTGGAGGGGTGGAGAATTGGGGAATGAAGCATCCACAGGAAGGTTGGGTTTAGTGTGCTGGGCGCCTCTCATGGAGGCCAAGATGGAGACTGGCTTGCGTCTCCCATATCCCTCCTTGGACCTGTGTCCAGGGCTGGGTCGTAGGCAGTGTCAGTTCACAGCTTCCTGCCTGGGCCTCAGACCTCCACTGAGCCCGGCTGCCTCAGGTGCTGCTGGAGGAGCTGGATGTTGTGCAGCAGTTTCTTCTGGTGACCGGCCAGGGTGATGCCCAGGGCAGGCAGGTCTCTGGTGGGGAAGGAGCGGATCAAGTCTGGGCCAGCTTCTCCAAGATCCCAGGCATGACCCCTGGCCTAGGGCCCAGAGGCTCCCCCCACCCCACCTCTCCCTGCTTACTCCAGGCTGAGCTGAGCCACATCACTGAAGGTGCAGAGGCCAAACTTGGAGAAGTTGTCCTGATAGCACTCCAGTCCAATGGCCGAAAGCCAGGCCTGGGGTGAGTCCAGAGAAGGAAAGTCCAGGGCCACAGGGTTCAGGAGGGCCTGGGAAGGTCTAAGGGGGGAGGGGCAAGCAGGTCAAAGTCCCCTCTTCATCCTAGCCCCCTCTCCTCATTTTTCTTTTTGGTTTGCATCTACCCTCCCTGGCTTTCCCAGGCTGCAGCCCCAAGCTCCAGACCTGTCCCCGGGGCCCCCGCCAGCCTGCAGAGTGTCTGGCTTGCGGATCATCTTGTCAAATGCAGACACCAGCTGGTCAAAGTGAGGTCGCTGGGTACGGTCCTTCTGCCAAGTGTCCAGCATAAGCAGATGTAGTGCAGGAGGACAGCCTGGAGGTGGCGGCAGCCGGAACTCCTGCTCTATTGCATTTAGCACCTGGGGGTTACAGGCAGCCTATGGTGAGGGGAAGCTATTGCAGGTGGAAGGCAGTGTATTGTTAGGGGTGAGGTGGTGGGCTGGGAGCAGGAGGAGCATGAGGCTGGTGTGGGGAAAGAACTTAAAAATATGGAAAACAAGAGCCATGAGATCTCAGAATGTGAGGGGATTAGAGAATAGAGGTCTTAGAATGTGTGAATCTGTGAGGTTTGGAGGGTTGTAGGGATCCGGGTGGGGAATCAGCAACGTCTAGGTCAAGAGCTCACCTCCTGGTCACTCATGTCCCAGTAGGGCCGTTCTCCATAACTCATCACTTCCCACATCACTATCCCGAAGCTCCAGACATCGCTGGATGTTGTGTATTTTCCGTGTGCAATGACCTCTGGGGCTGCCCAGCGAAGCATCCCATTTGGGCCCTGAAGGGTTGGTTAAAAGTAACAACAATAATCAAAACAGGAGTCAAGTTTATTGAGCAACTACTACATGTGTGGATGTGTGTTAAGGGTTTTCTATCAATATCTTATTTAATCCTCACAAGAATGCTGTAGGGTGGATGATATTATCTCCATTTTACAGATGCAGAGGGTGAGGCACAGAGAAATATGAACTTGTGCAAAGTCACAGAGCTTAGGGTGGAGTGCTCAGGATTTGTACCCGGCTGCTCTGACTCTAGAGTCTGTGGGCACCCGGGAAAGGGCAGGAGGTGCTTCCAGGTTTTCGCAGGTCTCCTGCCTTCCCCAGTGGTCTTGGTCCCTGAAAGTCCTCCATGCCCTCCTTGCCCAGGCTTCTATCCTGGATGGAGCACAGGTGAGTGCCATCCCTTCAGACACTATGATGCCACTGAGGGACCCACCCCACGTTCCAGCTCATCCTCCAGCACCCGCTGAGGATGCAGAAGCCCCAAGGTTGTGCTCTCACCTGAAGACTGTGGCCAAGACCAGCCACTTTGCACACCAGGTGGCTATTCACCAGTACACTGTGGGCAGAGAGGGTGCGGTGGACGAAGGCGAAGCTGGACAGGTACTGCATGGCGGCGGCCACCCCTCGCTGCATGGCCACCAGCTGCAGGCTGCTGAACTGGCCCTCCCGCTGCTGAAGGGCAGAGGGCAGAGGTCAGCACCTGGGTGGGGAACCTCAACACAGCACAGCAGACATCACAGGAGAGGGCGAGGGCATTTGGGAATCAGAAAATGGCCTGGGAATGAAGGATGAAGAGCACCAAGGGAGATGGGACGGGAGGGAGCAAAGATACAGTGTTCAGTCTCTGGGAGAGTTGAGAATTGCAAACTTTCCCAGAGCCAAGGGCCCGCTTCCTTCCCCCAGGCCCAACTGACCCTGAGGAAGCTGTCCAGGGGTCCCAGCTCCATAAGCTCCGTCAGCACCATGAGAGGCCGGCTCTTGGTGACCACGCCCTCCAGCCTCAGGATGTTGGGGTGCTGGAACTGGCCCAGCACTGCGGCCTGGCCTAGAAATGTCATCTGTAGGCTCTCAGTCCCTCCAGCCCATAGGGCCTGGATGGCCACTGCCTGCTCCCGCCGTCCCCGGGGCTGCAGCCGGCCCCGGCGCACTTCTCCAAAGGAGCCTGGAAGCACAGGTATAGGTTGGGAGGGTGGTCAAGGAAGAACCATGGGCTCATGGCTTCCTGATATGTTTAGAAGGGATCCTGCATGGAGGCCCATGGTGGTGGGTGGGACAAGCGAGTCCATCCCATGCCCTCCCTCTGCCCCTGCAGTACCTGCCCCAATGACCTCCTCGATCTTGACATACGCAGGGTCCACCTCCCGGGCAAATTCTCGGACAGCCTGGCAGGGGTCCTCATATGTGGAGGGGTCAATGTAGTACTTTACCCCAAGGCCTATAGGCATATGGAGTTTGTTGTGAGGGTGGTGCAAGGCCTGACTGCCCACACACCCCAGGCAGGCCCTCCCACTTCCAAAAAAGGTGCCAAGGGGCACCCCTCAACCTCGGGGGAACGCAGCCATGCCTGGTGTGCTCCCAGCCAGAGCCCCCAGCTCTTCGTCGGTGCATCCCTCAATCGACCCCCTCACCTGGGCTGCTGTACTGCTGCAGTTGCTCTGTGTAGCCTGTCCCACGCCGCTTCCTGAGGGACAAATCAGAGTTCTGGAGTGACACTCACTCCCATTTCCTCCCTCTTCTAGACTCACTCAGGCTGCTGATCAACCAGGGATGTATGGAGTGAGAGATGCCTGGTCCCCGCTTCCCACCTCCACATGGGCCCAGAGAGGGGGCCTGGATGGTGGGAGAGGGTGTCGGTGGGGGTTTCTGCAGTGGGCTTTGGGGCTGTTAGGACCTGGGGTTGCGCTGCGAAATGAGTGGTGTGGCAGGAGAGGCTCACCTCTGGAAGACAATAGCCAGCACGGTGATGGCTGCCAGCAAGAGGAAGGCCAAGGCCCCCAGGATGGACCCAATTACCAAGGAGAGTCTCTCTGGAAGCTGGGCAGACAGCTCACCTGAGGAACCAGTCACCCAGGATCACAGATGGGCAAGGCTGCACAAGAGCATGCACCCATATACACCCCCACCCACATACCCCTCACGCACCCACATACCCCCCATGTACCTCCCCACACACCCACGCAAAGACCTGAAGGTCAGCTGCTCAGCCACGAGCACTCTCCTCACAGCCTCTGGTCTGGAGGGTGGTAGGCGATGGCCCCTGGGCCTCTTCTCACTACCCTCAGTGCCTCCTTCCCCATCCAGGCTTCCTCTCACCTTGAGGCAGTGTCTGGAAATAGACCTTGCCCCCGTAGGGGCCGTGGCCTGCAGCAGTCCGCGCCCGCACCTGGAAGCCATAGATGTGGCCTGGGCTCAGCTGTGTCACAGTGGCCATGTTGGTCTCGCTGGTCAGGGTGAAGGAGTGGGATTCATCTTCTGCCTGGGGGTGACAGCCACTCACTCCCTGCCGGCCCCCTCCCCCCCCATCCCTGCCTCACCCACAATCCCTGTACCCCCTGCTACAGGGCTCCTTGGCACCTTTCCTGCCCTCCCCACCTCTAGCCCCATGGTGGGGCACTGAGAGTTCCCATCAGCCCTGCTGGGCACCCCTTTCCTCCCGACCTGGTCACAGTAGCGGAGCTGATAGTCCAGGATATTCCCGTTGGTCTGGTCTGGCTGTGGCCAGGACACTGTGATGCTGTTGGATGCTCGGCTCACCTGGTGCACAGCAGGGACTGCAGAGGGAACTTGGGGGGGGGGGGGTGAGAAGGGGGGCTTTCCATGGGCTGGGGAGCAGGAGTGGGGGAGGGGGTTCCAAGGAGGCTAGGGAAGGTGTTAGGCAGGTAAGGCCTTAGGTGGAAGGTGAGGCTCACCTGCATGGCTGGTGCTGACATTGATGGCTGCAGCCTGGGGAGGGTCGGGGCTAAGTTCTGACACCCCGTTGACAGCCTGCACCTCCAAGATGTAAGGAACATGTGCCCGGAGACCCCCGACTAACACTCGGCTCTCAGTCAGGCCCCTCTGACGGGGGTCAAAATGCACCTCATCCCTGCAGCGGCGACAAGCGGCGGTCCCACTGCTCGGCTCCTGGTGGCCTCCACACTCCTTGCATACGACGTTGAAGAGCAGGTCCCCTCGCCCTCCAAGTTCCTGGGGCAGGCGCCAGTGCAACATGAGTGCTGAGCCTTGCACCTCGAACCAAAGCTCCCGGGGGGCTGACGGAGGGCCTGTGAAGGCAGCAGGTGCAGCCAGGGAAGGGCCACGATGGGAGGCAGTTGTGGGGTGGGGAAGATTGAGGAAGGAAGGAGGCAGGGGAGGAGACAGAGAGCATGGGTTGGGGACCAGAAAGCAGAGAAGGTAGGTGGGAGGAGACACAGGAGGTGGGCCAGGTTGGGAGTGAGGGTAGAGAGGGAAGGGTAGGGCAACATGGAGGAAACCAAGAACACAGGAGGAAAAGAAGTCACTCAGATGCAACCAGCCCCCCGTGTTGCCCTCAGGTCCCCCTCTTCTAGCCCCACTCCAGTCCTGTTCCCACCCCTGTGGAAGGTGGGGGACTCACCAGTGCAGGGGGCCTCTGGGGGGTCAGAACTGGCCCTGTAGAAGCCCGAGAGGCAGGGGCAAACAGGGGCTGCAGGGTCGGGGGCATGGCTGCGGGCAGGGCACGGTGAGCAGGCAGCATTCCCAGCCAAGGCCTTGTAGGAGCCCCCGGGGCAGGCTGAGGAGTAGAGGAGGGTGTAGGCGTCAGGCTCACTGTCTACCCTCTCCTGAGCCCCACACAGCTGCACAGAGGCGGCTTCCCAACCTTCCATTCCATTCCCCAGGGTCGCTTCCTCCTTTCCTCCTGAGATCTAACCCCAACCCCTCTCTCCCCTCTTTCCCTCCCTCTCACAGAGATTACTTCTGCCATTTCGCTAGGTGGAATTGCATTTCTACTGATGGAAAAAATGAGGTGGGTGGGGCCTATGGGCAGGCCAAGCACTAGATGTAGGTGTCTGACTTGATTGCATAATCCCTCTGCTGAGGCCTCCTGCATCCTCCACCTAGCAGCAGAATCATTCTCCTTAGCCGGCATCCACTGCCTTCTCCCACCTGCATCCTGGTCACCCAGCCCTGGGATGATTCCTCCCTAATTAGATGGCCAAAGTGGACAAAGGACCCCATCCCATGATAACCCAGGAGTTTAACTCCTCTTGATCCCCATCACTTCTCAGGCCTGCAGCCCTAGGATCCTCAGGAACGGCTGCAGAAGTCTCCAGAAGGTTCTGGAAATTTCCGATGAGCAAATGAGAGCAAGTCTGTGTGTTTTAGGAAATAGATCTGGAGAAAACAGGAGTCCTTTCCTAAAATAGCTAATCCCTGAACTTTTGAGGACAAAACGTAGTTTGGAGTGTCTAGGAGAGGAACCTGAAGATTGGAGGCATATGGCGGCATCTGGGGCAAGTGTAAGGCAGCAGGGTCTCACCTTGGCAGGCCTTGTCTCCACGCATGGGCTGGTGCCCCGGCTGGCAGCGGCAGCCCCCAACAGCTACCATCCACTTGCCCTCCCCGTTGCAGTGCAGCCTGGGGGTGCTGACCCCTGCCTGGCCACCCCCTCCATCCTCCTCTGGCTCTGCATGAGCCACACAAGTGCCCACGGCTGCCACCAGGGAGGCCCCCCCGGCCCCACTGGCCTGCGTCTCAGGAAAAGAGGCAAAGGCACGGAGCACGGAGGGGCAGGCGTAGGAGAAGAGTTTGACCGCCACGAGGGCCAGGCAGGCCCCGGTGTCCTGGAAGGCCACGTAGAAGCCGCGCTGGGTGAGGGGGCCGAAGCTCCGCTCTTTGACATTCAATTGCAGCCCAGCCCGCTGCCCGGAGCCACGAGGCCCCACAGTCCACGCGGAGGAGGCAGGGAAGCTCTCATCTGCTGCAATTGTGTCCACCTTGGTCCAGCGTTTGTGGTGCCAGGTGGCAATGCCATCGGAGCTATCGGGCTCCTCGGCCTGGCGGTAGTAGAGCGTGAAGGTCTCCCGGCAGGTGCCTCCGGCCACGCCCAGGCTGGAGCAGGCCCGCACAGAGAAGTGGAGTCGGATGTGTGCCCTCTGGGCCCCTCGCCGCTCCACAAAGTGGGTTTGCAGCCAGTTGTCCTGCCCAGTGCCTGGACGGGCCCCTGCCACGTGGCATGCCTCGAAGGTCCGAGTCAGGCGTCGCTGGTCGTCCAGAACGCTCACTTCATCCCACTGCAGGGAGTGGGGGCAAGGACAGTGTTAGCTGCTCAGAGATTGGATGGTGCACGGCGGTGGTGGGCATAGCTGAGACTTAAAATTAACGACATACAAAGCAGGGTGAGGCTATCCCAAGCCCTGTTCCTCCAGAGGGAAGAGGGAAGGAGTCTTAGCCCATCAATCTCTACCCAGGGTTTCCTTCCTGAATTCTGCACTCTAGCAAGCAGGGAGGAGGAGGGGTGATGGGTTCAGAATGAAAGAGTGACACTCACTCCACCTGGCGGGTAGGTGAGCCAGCCAATCTCAGATGTCTCTCCAGTGGTGTCCAGCAATACCTCTGCCCAGAGATAAGAAGGGGCACGCAGTGGCCAAGCCTCTAGCCAGCACTGCTAACCCCCTCCCCATTCCTATGAGGAAAAAGGGATTTCCCTCCCTGGTCCATTTAATTAACCAGCAGGAGTACAGCTGTCTGTCAGGAGACTTTCTCTGAAACTCTCCCCATTCTCTTCTCCCATTTGATATCTTCACTCTTTTCTGCCTTTTCTGAATCTTTCCCATTTCCCACCTGAGCTGGGTCTCTACTGGCAATTGGGGGTTCTCTGGTCTCCACTTCCTCTTACCTTCCAGCGCCAGAACTGAGGACACCAGGACCAGGCTGCACAGGCTGCACACCATGCCCACCACTCCGCTTCCTGACCAGGCAGCCCCCTCAGCAGCCATGGGACATCTTCAGGGCTCTCACCATTGCCCAGGCCACCACCCTGCTCCAAGGCGGGGCTGCTGCTTTGCAAGACTGGGGTCTGCAGCCAAGCTTGCTTCCTAGGAACAGAAGAGGGAGGTAACTGCATTGCTTCTCGGATGGCCCAGGCTCCAAAACCTGATGCTGTATCTCCTCCTACATTCTCAAACTGCCCCAGCAGCAACCACAGGGTGAGAGCTGGCAGAGCCCTGCCTTTCTCCTGATCTGTGCAAAGTCCACCATCTTGGACGGCCATGTGCAGAGTTGCTCCCTCCCTACTCCCTGTAGGTGACCCCATCTCTGAGCATTCATTTCTCATGGCCCTCCCTCTTCTAACTCAGGGTAGTTAGTTCTGGGCCAATCTTACCCTTTTCTTCTGGGAGGAGCTATTCCAGTTCTCTCTCTTCATTTACTCTCTTCTCTTCCTCCTGACCTGTATTGGAAGCCAGAAGTTCTTCTTATTAAAAACAGGGGTTTAAAAGCTACTCCTTCCCTAGGGACACACAGATTCCCCCCCCCAACACTTCCTGACCCCCATCAGACTTGGACACTCTAGACATTTCAGAGGCAGTGAAGCGAGAGGGACCACAGAAGGAGAGCTGTGGGGTATGATGGGAGGGAGCGTGTGAGAACAGATGCAGAAAGAACAGAGGCATAAAGATTCTGTCTGATAAATGAGCCAGTATAGAGAAGGGATGGACCTATGTAGGTTGGCATACCTACATTTTGTGAACAAAGATCCTCTCTGCATAACCAGCACATTTTTTCCGTGGCTTACAGAAAAATAAATGTACGTCTTAAATACATGAAAAGATGCTTCAAATCTGCTCATAATGAACAAAAGGCATGTTGAAACAGCAATGACATGCCATTCTGTCCTATGAGATTAGCAATGCACTGGGTTACAGAAGGTAGAGGAAATAGGCTCTCTTATATTCACTGCGCTGAGGAGTTCAAATTGGAATCTCCTCGGCAATGTCTCTTCAGCAGCTTCACTTCTAAGAATTTGTCCTTCAGGTACCGTATACTTGGATCCGTTTCCACAGATGAGTGAACAAGAATATTCATTGCAGAATTGTTTGCAAGGGGAAAGACTGTAAACTAGCTGCTGATCCATAGGAAGAGGTTAAACAATTATGGCACAACGTTAAAAAGGAATATGGGCTACTGTGCCGATGTGAAAATACTTTCCAAGTGAAAGTAGTCCAGTGTAGAACAGTAGAAAGGATGCTCCTGATTGGTAACTCGAGGAGGACATACACATACAAATACATATGTATGTAAGGATTTTTATAAAGGATAGACAAACCTGGGGAGAAAGGGAGAGGGCCAGGACAGGGCTACTACAAGGGAGACTTATGCTCACTGCATTCTCTTTGATTTTTGTATTTTTAAAATCTTGTATATACATTATCTTTTCAATTAAATCATTAATTAAGGTTTCCTTTAAATCTGTACATAATAACTTGTTAGTAAAATGAATCAAAATAGTGTTAATGCTTTCCGGGACTATGGAGTAAGCTACCCTCTTATATAAAACGTTCCCAAGCCCTTATAAACACACACTACAGCTCACACGCACATGGCCTGGAGGCACGGCCGCCTCCACTGTCGCAGGGAAGACAAACGGCTCAGGCCTTCCTTCGCTTGTGGGTCTAGAGATTGGTGGTGACCTATCTCTCTCCTGTGACTGAGTCTCAAAAATCTGTGAGTTGCATGGATAAGAGCAGTAGATTCCATTTATTTCCCTTGAGAAGAAAACAAGAAGCATATTGCTCAAAAGACAGGAAACTGAGAATTAAAAAGAAGCCAGTCGGAGGTTAGAACCTGGTTCCTCCTGGATATTTGTGGCCATGTGATGCACAGTGCTATCCAAAACTACATATTTCACAGTGAAGCTGAAATCGATTAAACTATATTTAACTTTGATGAATATGAAAATCATAATTTGATTCCTACTAATCTAATTTTTTCTGGTAATGCTAGCTATACTGTAAGATGAAGCCTTCAGTGTTATGTCTATGTGGTTATTGTGGAAGGACACTGTTTCTACACCTTTATGGGCTGCTGTGTAGTGGGTATCTGCCAGCTAGCCACTGAAATTTACCCTTCATGCCTCTGGAACCCTATTTGTGAAAGAGAATTCAACATATAGCATATGGAGGCAAGTAAGAAGCATTTCCAAATCATCACGTTGTGTATCTTAAACTTGCACAATGTTATATCTTAATTGTATCTCAATAAAGCTGGGGGAAAAAAAGAAGCATTTCCATTTGGCAAATTATTCCTAACAAACAGAGGTTGTTTGCAAATACTACCTCAAATGCTACTAGAATCATTTGCAGATTGAATAAATGCTTCAAAAAAGTACAGGGAGATTATGAAGTAAAAAGCACGGCCCCGTCACCAATGGCTATTTAAAAAGTATCCTGACATGCCAGCCCTGATGGCCTACTGGTTAAAGTTCACTGCTGTTACCACTTTAGTGGCCTGGGTTTGTTTCCCAGTCGCAGAACCACACCACCCATCTATCAGTTGCCATGTTGTGGTTCTCACATAGAAGAACTAGAAGGACTTACAACTAGGATATACAATCATGCACTGAGGCTTTGGGGAGAAAGAAAAAAAAGAAAAAGAGGAAGACTGGCAACAGATGTTAGCTCAGGGCAAATCTTTCCAAAAAAAAAAAAAAAGAATTAAAAAAAATCCTGAAATAATTCATATTGTAGGTACACCCCAAATTCTCAATGGCTTAAAGAGGAGACACACTTGTCACACCAAAGCAGATCAGATTCTGTCCAGGGCTGGAGAATCTTTAGGAATGCTGTTATCAAGATCTAAAATGCCAGCAAAAAATCTTTAAACAATGAAGGCTATTATACCATTTGCCCAGCAGATATTCTTTAAAATAGCTTCTTTCAGTCAGAACATGGATGGATTCTGGAATCTGTACAAAGAAGAAACTATAAGAACTGTGTCTTCCTAAACTTACAGCTAGACAGCTAGTCATGGAGAGGGAAGAATAAATACTTTGGATACATCTCATTGAATTTTTTTGAAAAACAGCAAAACATGAGACAGAGATGCACTGCAGATAATATCAGCTGTGCAATATGGAACATTCTAGAAGAGGACAAATGGAAAAGCATTTGCTCTGATGACCCACACTACAAGTAACACAGTGACTTGTAGCTGCAGTGGAGTGTGCATACTCAGCCTTAGCATGCATCTTAGTGACAACATGAAGCTGGCCTCTCTCCAGAAAATCCAGAAAAAAACAAAAACAGTTATGACACATGTTAAAGCCACTCAGCCTCTGTCATCAAGAGGAATCAGAAAGAAAAGAATAAAATGGAGACTGCCTATGGATTGCCACTTCAGTAATTTTTTGAAATTTCACTAACAAAGATATTCACTAACAAGAAATGCTTGAGGACCTTCAAGTACCCAGAAGTGTACTCTTCTTATTTGATGAGGACAGCTTTTAGATTCGAATTCAGAAGATCGAAGGTTATAAACAAGTTTCCTCAGGAAAAAATTGTGGCTGAGCGAGACTAAGAAGTTAGGTCAGTTCTTGCTTATCAAACAAACCAGATCAATCCAACTTTTATTTTTTAATACATGAAGAGAATCTGAGTGTATCTCTATGGCTAGAATAAAAATAAAGAGGGAACTTTATGAAGATATGGAATAAATTGCTGTGAACTAATTCCTACTGCTGCAGATTCTTTTGAAACAAGTTTCAAAGGCAGAAATGTAAGTGACAAGAACACGGCTGTTCCATCCACATGCCTGGAATACGAAACAATCAGGACTTAGAACTTGATTTTCAAAGGTGCCTTCAATGGCTGAGGACTAGGACATCTTTCCACATTTGGTCCAGGGGAGCACTCTGGGAGCAGCCTCCCACTGTCACACGGAGGGGGACAGCAAGGCCAGGCCCCTGCTCTTCTTCCTCGTGGTCTGCTTCAGAATCCTCAAACTTCTCCAGCTCATGAAAGGAACTGGTCAGTGTTTAGAAATCCTCCAACCCACAAAAGAGCAGAAAATTTCTCTCAATCAGGAAAACATTCAAATTTCAGATGTGTATATGGTTTTAAAAATGTAAAACACCAGAAGCAGCAGAAATGTGGATGTGAAATGATAGCTCAGAAAATGAGACTGATTACACAAAGTTTCCTGTAACAAAAATTGCATTCTATGACTTCACATTTTTTTTTCTCAGCTCCTTTTCTGGATATATCACTTTATGTCTTTTTGATACTGTAGCGACACCACATCCACAAGTCTGCTACATTTCTTTGCTTTACAAAAATATAACAGTTTTGTAGGCATCGTCCCGATGTATTTTGTTTTCAGAAACTGGCATAGATTAAAGATTTGTGGAATCTTACCCTCTAAATCATAGCTTATGAGTTCCGTTATGTATAAAAATGAAAGATTTAAAAATAAATTAAATGAGTAAATCTGTAAGAATTTAAAAAATTAACCGTGCTCAAATTAAAGTGTTAAACATGATAATCTTATGAACAAACCAAGCTGACAATATAGCTTTTGCGCCTCAATCCACAAAGTGAATTTTAAAAAATTTAAAAATGTAAGCCAAATAAGCTTGGAGGAAGACAGGCTGGGAGATATATCGGGCATTAAAATTGGTTCCTGTAGGAGGTAGAAGTGGAGGATGGTAGGTGGGGGGAATATTAAGTTTGTCTTACACATTCTTGATTGTTTTTCTTGTTACAATGAGCATATCCTAGTTTATAATTAAAATAAAATCCCATAATTAAAATCTAAACAAAAAATAGGAAAATATTTTCAAAACCTAGACCAGTAGAGCATATGTTTAAATTTTATCCCCCCTTCCCTTTTTCCCTCTAGGTTTCGAAATACCTAGAAATTTTCATGTATAAGAAGACAGCAGAGATGGAGAGAAAGTAGGAGCTGGGAATGAATGAGCAAAATAACTTTTTTCCTTTGATTTTGTTTAAGCTTCGCTCCCCAAGAAGTTCAAATTGTCCCACTGACAATATCGTGCTACCCTTACATGGTGTCCAGCAAAGGACGGTGACTTCAAAGGGAAAAAGGGACCAGAGGAGGCTGTACATTCAGATCACACGACGAGTGGCATTGCTACAAACTGAGCCCAGACAGGAACATTCATTGAGGCAGAGCAGGCTGCAGGGGCCAGCGGGGCGAGGGAAAGTCTCAAAGGCAGAAGGTCAATGGTTTGATGTCTGGGGTGGTTGTTGAGCTGGTCCTCACACCTGTTAGCCACAGGGTCAGCGTGGGAGGGGTCAGCACCACAGGCTCAGTCCTCTGTCCTGTTCTGCAGCTGTTCAACACCCAGGAAATTCCTGTATAATCCTTGATCAGCTTAATGCTGCAGCCTCCACCCTTTAATCTCCACCTTGGATATGGTTTTGGGACCACTCTCTTCTAGCTCTGGCTGCCCGCCTTGAAAAGGATCCCATTGGCCTTTACAGTGGCTTCCAAAGCAGACAGTGAAGAGGCAGCTGTCCTCCAGTGCTTCTAGCCCCTTCTGCCCTGGCTGGAGAAGCCAATTTGTGGATAACCTAGCAGAGAACAGTCCTGTGTCCCCTGAGGCCTCCAGTCTCCGAGAATGTCCCCCAGAGCACGCAGATGCAGACAAATGAATATGCCTCCCACTCCCAGGCTGTGGAGCTGGGGGAGGCTTTTAAGATGCAGGCAGTGTCTGGGTCTAGCCAGACAGCCACTTAGAACGAGCTGCTCTGGCTGTGCCCTGACCGGGGACGTGTGTGGCTCTGGAAAAGGACATAAGGAAGGGCAGTGGGGCGGTCGGTAAATGTGCACGGGATGAGTAAGTGGATGATTGTGGAAGAAAGCCCACGAGTGCCAGGACCAGAGCCTATGAGAGCAAGTGTGAGACTGAGTAAGGGAGTGTGCATGAGGTGAGATAGGTGTGGAGCAGGATGGTGCACGCTGGGAGGTATGTGTGTGTGAGAGCATGCAGAGCAGTGCCCATCCAGAGTGGTCCTCATGCTGGTGGCAGACACCCATGAGCCCTTCCCCTCCTCCCTCATCCTGGGTCTGTCTCTACCTCACCCTGAGTCAGGCTGTGAACTGCTCTCTGCCCTAGGAGTTGCTTCTGCAAAAACACCTGGGCTGGGAGAGGGAGGTAACAGGAAGTAGAGAAAGGGAAACCTGAGGCTTCCAGAACCCCTGGAACCCTTCCAGCTAGAGGTAGAGTGGTGGGGACAAGGGGCCCAGGGCCCAGCTCAGGAGATGGTGATGAGCTCGGAGCGCAGCTGGGCCAGAGGCGGAAGGGTCCTGCCCTTCTCATGCTCAGCCCATCACTGCCTGTTGCTCCCCAGCATTCTGGTGACAACAACGGTCATTGCCATCCATCTTCTTGCACCCTGTATGAACCAATAGAATCCAAAGGAGTCCTCCTCCCCAGGCCACTAGGTAGGTACATAGGAGACCCCACCCTAACCTTCCCGGGACAAAAAAGGCCCAGTGCCCTGAAAGAGCCAAGTGGCCCCCCTGAACAGCACCCAGCAATTCTCCATCTCCCAGTGTCTTATTACTTGGACAGCTTCCATGGACTGCCAACAGTCCCACAGCTCCTTTCCCACTGAAGCAGCATGTCCCCTTCCAGAGCCTGAGTCAAGTTCCCCTGGCGGGGAGGGCCCAGGTTAACTGATTGGGAACAGGCCCAGCCGCTTCTCTCCGTGGGCAGTGCCAGGGACATTACAACATCGGCTATGCTGGGTCTATGCCAGGTCCCCCAGGGATGGGAGGAGAGAGAGTGCCAGACAGCCAAGATTGGTGGGTGGGGTTGTGGGACAGGCAGGGCCAAGCACCCAGATGTACAAAGACGACGAGCTGGGGCCGCAGCAAGCAGTAGACTTCGGTTGCAACTTGGGGGTTGTGGCTGGGGAGCACGAGCCAAGCCTTCACTCCACACCAAGGCTTACGTGTGGTGATGGCCGTGGGGGAGCAGGATAGGCTGCAGGGAGCTGGGGGGAGGTGTGGGATGGACCTCTTAGCTCCTCCCAGCTCCACCGGGATTGGAGAGATGCCACTGGGTCAGAGGGGTGGGCAACCTCTTCAGAAGGCTGGTAGCCCAGCCTCTGCGAGGACCCCTGTATTAGGACCCCCTACCTATATCAGTGCCAGACGAGTGCCTCAGCAAACACAGTGGGGGATCGCAGCAGCAAGGGTAACGGGGGTGTCAATGACGGCCAGTCAAGGGGGTGGGGTGGGGGAGCCAGGTGGGCCAGTTCCTCGCCCCTCAGGAACCCCGCTCTCGCCTTGGGGAGGGATACTGAGGATGTGCAAAGGCCCGGTCTGGAGGGCTCCTCTACTTTGGCAAACCTAATCCTTCCGTCCCCAGGCACACCGCCCCCATCCTTCAACACCGCCTGCGACCCCGCGGCTCACCTTCCCGCCGGCCGCAGGCTCCGCAGGTCTCGCCCCCCGAGGCCCCGCGCTCGCCCAGCGCCGCCCGCGTCTCCGTTCGGGTGCGGGGACTCAGCTCCCCGCGGCCCGTCCGCTGGGCGCCGTGCGTCTCTGGCGTTCCGGGGCGGCCGGGGGGCGGTGGCTGGCGGCAGGGGCTGCTCCGGAGGCGGGGCGCCGGGGGATCGCGCGGGGCCCGCGTCGCGCTCGCAGTCGCCGCGCTCGGTCGCGGGGCCCGCAGCCCGCTGCTCTGCTCCGGGGAGGCGGCTGGAGCGAGCGCAGCCCGGCCCGCCCCCTCCGCGTCCCTCCCAGCCCGGCCCGGCCCGCCCCTCTCCGGGCCCCGTGGCCGCCCTCCCTCTCCCCTCTTCCGGGGAGCCGAGCCCGCCCTCCCGGCCTGGGCGGCGATGCGCGGCGCCCGCTCTGCGGCCCCGGCGCGCGGGGGAGAGCGAAGTGGGGGCGCGGGGCTCGCCCTGGGCCCGCCTGTGCGCTGGGCCGGGGGCGGAGGGACGTGGGCAGGGAGGCTGGCACGCGTGAGGGGCCCGGAGGAGGCGGGAATCCGAACGCCAGGAGACTTCTTTAAAACCCCCGGGGCGGGCGCGGGCTCGGGCCCCCGGGAGGGAAGCGCACCTGGCTGGCGGGCGGCCGATGCCCAGGGCAGGGCAGGGCAGGGCAGCAGCCGGCACAAACACCCGCGCCCTCTCGCCGTCCTGCTTTTCTGCTTCAACTCTAGGAACTAAAACCCACTGGTTTTAGTTCCTACTCAGGTTTGAATTAAGGTGGGCGTGAGCTGAGGAAAAGAGAAAGAAGCAAAAGAAGGGGGCGGAGGGGAAGACAAACTGAGAGATCTCGGAGGGTACGGGGGTGGTGGAAGTGGTTAGAAAGCACGGGAGGGGGGCGTCTGGGTATCTGAGTACCTCTGATCTAGCCTTAAACTCCTCTCTGGCTTCGTGACCCTGGATCTTGGTCAGCGTTGGGGCTTCTGACTCCACCCTCCCAAAGGGCATGGAAGCCTGGGTCTGAACGGGGAGGCCTGATGTCCGTGTCTGGCTTTTGCATGGCCTCGGCTACTCGCTGCACCTCTGGGTGCCTTCTCCCTTGCCCCCTTCCCAGAGAGAACTTCCCACAGGGATGAGAGGCGATGGAGGGTACTCGCAGCGGGTGCTTGGAAGGAGGGGCTGAGGAAAGGAGGGGGCGCTCCGCGGAAAGATGTTTCCGCCCACCCCTAGCCTCTTTTCAAACCGAGGGCAGGATTTGGGGTCTATTGTTCAGGGCCTGCAGCGCCGATGGGGGCCTTCCCACAAAGTGTTGCTACCACCTGCTGGTTCTTACAAGAATACAGGCATCTGGTGGAATTCCCTCTGGCCCTTTGCCCCCTCCCCATATCACCCTGTCCCATAGTATTCTACTTTCTTCTTTTATCCAAGACATGTTTATTAAAGCACTAGCTGCAAATGAGCTGATAAAACTGGTACTTAAGGAGCTTTCAGAAACCAAGGAAAATTGTGAAAGAGATCTATGAGCCAACAAGCACGCTAACCAAAACAATGAAACTCATTAGGAGGCACCTGGGAGAAACAAACAGGCTTTAATGAATTGGCTGCATGAGTGATAGAAGCAAAGAAAAGGGAGGCTGAACTAGTTCCCACTTGGCGAGGGGGTTGTTCACGTCCAATATCTGGAGTCAGTTAATAAGCCTAATGATGTTGAATGAGTCTGCACTGGGACGTAATAAATCCGCTTGCACTGGTGAGTCTAGCTATATATTGTTTCTTCCTGTTGTTGTGAAACTCGAAAATTGGAAGTGTTTCAGAATGAGTAAATAAAAAGTAATAGTATTTAAATTTGTTTGGTGCTAAAGAGCAGGACCTAGTAAAGTTGGTGGCTCACAGAATTCATTATCTTGGGGCACAGCCATCTAAATGTAAATTTGGAGCCAAAAGTTGCTCCTGAGTAGAAAAGTCCAGGTGGTTTGGGATGGTTCTTTGATTCGATCTGCCTCTTTTTTTTTTCCCCCTGTTTTTGCCTCCTGCTTGGGCTTTCTTCTTTTCAGCATCTATCACTCCCCAAGGGTGTGCAGTTTTCTTCTGCCTTATTTCCCTTTAGAATGGCTAGTGCAAGATGATGTTATTATAAACAAAGAGCTTTACAAGTAATTTCAGTGATAAGACTTCTAGTAAAAAGCAATAAAGGAATTGGCTGAGCCCCCAGATCTCTGATTCAAGACATTAGTTATAGCTCCAGATGTACAACCTGACGGGGTCCAAGGCCCTTCTCTGAACTGTCTGCAGGGCCTGTGGCCTCTGGGTGCATCTTACTTCCCCAAAACTGGAGTCTGGTCTCCAAATAGTTTAACCAATAAAAGTGTCAAATGCCCATGTATACAATGAAACTTTTTCATTTTTTCTTTCTGTTCAGAAACTTCTAGAGTGTGCCAGGGTTCTCCTATAATACTGGTTTATTTAAAAGACAAAATTAGTTTGCAACTGATTTGTAGCCCAGTGGTGATTGGTAGCATGGATGGTCCCTGAGTGATCTTCAGTTTCCCCAGGAGAGTCTTACACTTGGACATTACTGTAACCAAGCAATAATAAAAAGACATTCCAAGGTATTAGTGCACGGAGAGAAAGAGGAGGGCTCTTCTCTCATAACAGAATGTTTTGTCAGTTAGAGATTAACTTCAGCTGCTTGTACCAGAAAAGTTGGACAGCAGTGGTGTAAACAAATTGAGCAATCCGGGAATGCCATGGAAGCCCCAGGTCAATAAGACTTGGGTTTCTGCCCTGCCTCTTTAGGGTGAAGACTTGTTCTCAGGTTCTCAGCATGTCAGCCAGAGCACCAGTTATAATGTCCATTAGTTTCAGCCAAGAAAAAGAAGATGGACATGGAATAAAGGGCATAGCTTCAGCTGAGTTAGCACCCTTTAAGAACTTTCTGGAAGCCCCATCCAGAGATTTCTTATATATTATAAGCCAAGACTGTGTCACATGACCACCTTTACCTGGAAGGGATGGGGAAATGCATGCTGCACAAATAAAATTGAAGTTCTGCTGGTGAGAGAAGACAAAGAATATTAGACCAGCAACCAGCAGCCTCCACCCCAAAGGAGCCAAGATGATCACGATTATCTACATCTTTTCCTGCAATTTACAAAGATAGAGGCTTTTCATAGGACATCCTTGCCAGTATTTCCCCCCCAGACCATAATCTTTAATACATATTTTTAATGTTTAAAGATGAGTCCTAGGAAGTTAGTGGAGTGAATGGAAGTGCTAGAAGCCTCCTCTCACTAACACAACTATGACACCACCTCAAAAGAACAATAAACAAATGCTCTACAGTTACTCATGTAAACAATAAGAGTTGAAAACGTTCTAGATTTTAATAAGAATTTGAGCAGTCCCCATGTGCAGGACAGGACGCCACAGTTCTCTTTCCCTTGTCTGAGCTGTGTCCTCCTTCCACTTCAGATCCAGACAGGAGATGTGGTGATCTATATCATGGAGCAGAGGATCTCAGTCTGCTCTTCCTGTCAAATGCAGTCTTGTCCTCTTGCTCTGGTCCCACACGGTGTTCTCTGAAAACATCCACATCCCCTGAAACAGGAAGGGTAACCTGCATTGCTGCAAGATGTGCCTGCAGCTCTAGATGTGGCTGTAGCATTTCCTGGTTCTCAGGCTGCTGGATGTTCCCCTCCCCTAGATTATATCTTTCTTGCTACTTTCATGCGGGATTCTGGAATCTCTCCCATCAGACCTTCAAGCACCAATAACAAACAAACAAGTCAATATCAAAAATGGGGAAAGAACAGCAACAAAACCAGAGACCTTTTAAAAATCGAAGGCAAAGTGGAAAAGCAGTGACGATATAAGAGTGTAAAGAAAAAGTCTTCACTTTATATTCTTAGTGAGTCAAAAGCAGATACAGAATCTATTTTTGAAGCTTGGGATAAAAAGGGAGTGGGAAAAAAAAGCACAATAGCCAAAATAAAACCTCAGTCATGCAGAAAGAAAAAAAAGGACAAAAGTCTGGGAAAAACAAACCAGTGAAATATAGCATGAACCTGGGAACACATTCAAGATGTGAGACATAAATAGATTATTTTTTAAATAACAGAGAAGTTAAAAGGTCTGGAAAATACAATAGGGAGTTCTAAACTTAAAATGACAATAATTCCAGAATGAGAAGACAGATCAAATACACAAGAGAGGGGGCGAAAAAAAAGACAAAATTCAAGAAATTTATTTTAGCATCTGGCACATATCAAGTACTTAACAAATATTTATTAAATAGTTGAATTAACTAAAAAGAGTCATGAGACTGAAAATTTAGAGATTTTGCTATCTTCTAAGCAAAACTGATAAGCAGAAATCAATGCCAAGATATATTCTGGTAAGAGTTTTCCAGTCAGTACCTTATAGGTTCACACATACACACAGAGTTTACTTTTAATAAGAGTTAAAATCAAGATACATTCATATTTCTTATACGGGCATTGATTAATGAGAAGTGATGGAATAAGACTTTCAGAGTTTTCAGAAGAAAAGGATAAAACACTATTGATCAACCTCTGAAAAGTCATTCCCAACTCTTCTTCTAATCTACCTAAAACATTGAGGCTCGGAAGCTGAATGATTGCCCTCCTAGCCTTCCTCACAGTCAGGAGTGGATAACAGACCTAATCTGGTTCAGGAGAAGAGAACTGAATTCTGCTGGGGGTACTTCTGAGAAAGCTTTTCGTTTCTGATAAAAAAGACACAGATTTGACAAATGCGGCCCTTTTTCCTTTGTCTTGCTTTGAAATCATCCTTTAGACATTGTACTGGTTTCCTATCATTGCCACAAACAACCCAGTGGCTGAAAACTACACAAACGTATTATCTTACAGTTCTGGAGGTCTGAAGTCCAAAATGAATCTAATTCAGTTAAAAAACAAAATGGAGGCAGGTCTGTGTTCCTTCTGGAGGCTCTAGGGAGAATCTGTTTCCTTGCCTTTTCTAGTGTGACTTCTAGAGACTCCTGTGTTCCTTAACTCATGGCCTTCTGTGTTTTCAAAACCCAGAATGTTGGCCTTGCTCCTTCTCATGCTGTCTTCTGTCTCCATCCTCCACTTGTAAAGACCCTTGTGTTTATACTGGGCCCACCTCCCAATAGTCCAAGATAATCTCTCCATCTCTCGGTCAATTGATTAGCAATCTTAATTCCCCTTTATCATGTAATCTAACATAACAGATTCCGAGGACTAGGA